TTTCATTAATTAAAAAATTAAAGTATAATACAATACTTCAGTAAAAGTAATTCATACAAGTAGTACAGCATTAATACAGCCATCATTTTCAGGATTATTTGTAACCTGAGCATATTTTCCCCAAACTACTTTTCCAGATTGAGTTACAAGGCCTAATTCGGAAATGTTTATTTCAATGATAGTTCCTTTAGTAATAACACCTAAAGTTGTATACATAGGTGAGCTTGGATTTTTCTTAACTCCAATGATTGGTAAGCAAAATGTAGCTTTCAATTCTGGATGACTAACATGTGCCTTTTTAAAACGCAATGCCATTGGCCTAATGAATCTTTCAAATTTTGGTGGTTTTCTGGTGAAGTTCTCACCAACAAATGTGACTTTTGTTACCATTCTTTTCCAACATTTTCGTTTAGATTTTCCAGTTCTCATTATTTTGAAAACTTCAGATTCAGATTGTGTTTTAACTTTAGGTATTGGTACATCCCATTTGCCAACTTTTTCTTTACGTTTTTGTTTTATCATATTTGACAATACTTTTGCATCTTTTTTAACATCGCGATCTAACAAATATACAGGCAATGCTCCTTGTGGTACTTTGTTTTCTTTTTCTTTTACTTTTTGTTCCATATGAGATTTAATTTTCTTTTTCATTTGAATTTTTTCATTCCGCCGCTCCTTATTAAAAATCTTTGCTTTTAGACCACGCAAAGTACGAGCACGTTCTGCTAGTTTGTGTGGCTGACGAGCCTCCCTTTTTCTTTTTCTCTCTTCATAATCCAAACGCCGCCCATACAGTTTCCGATGTCTTTCAATATATTCGTTCTGTGGCATGATGAATGTTGTTGTGTCCTTTGCAAATTATCTATGAAACAAATTATTTCTTCAACCTTCTTCAACCTATGGATTCTGAAAATGAAAAAAATTAAATGCTAAAAAGTATTGATTAGAAATTTATTATTATTATAGTTAATGTAATATAATTAATGTTATTTTCATAAGAGTAATAATTTTTTTTAATTTTTGAAACTTGTGTGAAATAAAAATATTAATTATACCTACCTATGTGTACTATTATATATTTTTTGTATTGAAATACAATATATACATATTATTGTTGTTGTTCAGTAGCACTATATTTTAATCAACTTTAAAAATCACTAGTTTGCATATATAAACACAAAACCTATATTCTAATACATCGCAATGTTCTGAAATCTAAGTAGGCATTGATATAAGTATTGCAATCAATGTTGGCATTTCACATCCGTGAGTACGCCATTGCACATACAAGAAATTTGGTATTTAAAATAAGCTTCTTATATATCAAAAAAATTACATTGAAAATGAACAAAATACATTTGTGCACAAATTAATTTCTAATAATTACACATTGAGTAAAATTAAAAAAAAAAATACATACAACCACGTTTATTACAGCGTGCCATGTGTTTAATTTCCATGTATTTCATAAATATCACAATATTATGATTATTATAAGTATCAAAAATTTTGTAAAGAAATTTAATAAAAAGTAAAACATGTAACTGATTTAAAAAGATATTGAAATAATCATAATTTTTCGATAAATTTAAACATTTCACATTAAACTTACCTTTGACTACGCCATGCAGATCTGAAAAGGAATTACAAGTTGGTCAACCTAAAGATAAGAAAGAGAGAGCGTCATCTGGTGTTATACAGGCTAAAATTTCTTACACTAAAGAATTCAATATAAATAATGAAATTTTTATAATAAAAGATAAAAGTTTTACAAATTAAATTATGTATACCAACGAATAATTATTCCCTATTTTATATTGAAATATACTAATAAGATTGTACAATTCAATATTTAAATTCTCAAAATATTTAATGATTTTGAAATATTAGAAAACATACAAATATATAAGTAAAATAAGAAGTTTTAAGAATAATAAGTAATTTAATTATGGTAGAATGACATATACTATTTGAAAATGACGGACAATTTAAAATTACTCTGCACATACCGTTTTAGTTTACGCATAAATAATTGAAAATTTTAATTTGTATTACAGACGAGGTATAATTGAGACTTATTAAAGACGAAATATAAATAGTTACGGGAATTTGATTCTTAATTTCACAACGATTCGATGTTTTTCAATACTCTGAAAATTTGAATATACAGCGCCACTAAGACGGTAGGAATTGCAATTAAATATAGCGTTAGTCAATTGCTGAAAATTGAGGTCCATCTATAGAATTCATATTTCATGAAGAAAGCCAGCCGTTCATCCTAAACGGAAAACATGAACTGCCTTATTTCCGTACGCTACATTTTGCTTTTCTTGTATACATGTCACTGAATGCATATGAACTATTAAAATTTAATTAATTAACAAATAAAATTAATTTTGGATGTCGCATTATACGCTAGTTCAAGAAACCCGAAATTTTGTTTGAATAAACTTATTTCGGAAGGATGTGGTTGATTAGGCATGGAACTACGATCGTTTCAACCTTTTTACGTGAATTGGTGCACAATGTGATATTCCAAGACTCATTGCAATGTTAATTTATAAATTAATTGCAAGCAAAAAATTAATATTGTGACATCCACGCTTCCCCACTTATGCGAACCAGCCTTGAGGTCTGCACTCTGCGATTTTCATGTGAATCCACCCCCTCAATTTCAGCATACACACATATACTTGCGCATGTATGTATAATTCATAGTAACTAAATTTAACAATAATTATAATGTTACTTTATATTTAAATGCAGCTCGTACCTATTTTAACATGGAATAAGGACTTTAGCGTAATATTAAATTGTAATTTGTATGGTAAAGTGACCGACGTAGTGCATGCGCGTTGAATTCCTCGGAACCATTTGGAAAGCTCAAACGTAGTAAACATATTTAACAATTAACAATTATTTTTCTTAATTTGCAAAAAATCAAAATTCTGTTTTATCTTTATTTTGTGTTTGAGTATATAACTTATATACACCAATTTGCGCGGAAATCGATAAATATTATTTGTTTTATATTTTATAATTTTCTTATAGAAAATTCATTGCCCTTTTAAATCTTGATACAAAAAAGTACGTATTCCATTTAAAGAATTCAAGGTCACTTTGATATCTCGTAAATAAATATGTTATTTTAGCAAACCGTTTTAGCATTACATTGTATATGTTATTGTTAAAACACTTTTTTTTTAGAAATTATTCGGGTCGGAGCAGTTGCATATGACTCACCCTATATGCATATGTGTATGACCGCATAGGCAATGTCTACATTCGATAGAAGAACAATGTCAGGCATGATAAGAAATTAAATTTTACTCTTTCAGTTAGGTACAGACTATTTTTTTAGTTATCATATGCAGAAGCTACGCGCTTTAAGATATATATTCGACTATTTTCGATGAATACTGTCCTTTGAGTCGAGTAAAATCTTAGATTGCGTTTAACGTCTCGTTGGAGGTTACGTTTGCTGCATTTGTCGCAGCAAAGTAAAATACGAAGCAGCTGTATTGAATACCTGAAATTAAAGTTTACATTTCACTATACATATTGTTGCTTCGATTTTGTTATTTTCAGAACTGATTTCATTTCGAGTTTCTTATATCTGATTAATTTTATAATCGCAATATTCTTCGGGTTGATGTAATACCGTGCGAATACATGTCATTTTTTCCTTTTTTTTTTATTGAAAAATGTACGATTTGCCAACCGAGCATTTGGTACATAATTTAACTCGATGTTTATAACAGTTGTATCTTTTTGTTTTAACAGTACAAGTGTTCGAAGGCATGTCTGTGATCGAAAGACCATAAATCGATAAACTCAAAAGTTTCTTCGTGAAAAGTAATTCGAACAAGATCAGCAAAAATACGACGAGGACAATTTCTGCTACAATAAACAAATATAAAAAAAGGGTTACATTAACCCGAGAACTATCGTACCGTAAAATCGTATCGTATCGTAAAAATTAGGAAAAACATCGACTTACGGCTGTTAACGTGTGAATAGACAACGTTTGAAACGTTAATGCCGTAATGCTGCAATACTGTTGGGCCCTAATGATCATCAGGCAAAGTTGTTTCTGATAAATCGGTGGTAAATTGTACCATGGTATATTTAGATAGACTACATGACCTATTTCTAAACTCTCTTGAACGAGAATTTCACCAGGCCAACACCATAGCAAAAGTTGCACCCCCATCGAGGTTAAATAAGACACAAATTTGAGAAGATCGGTACCGGTGCCGTTATCGATCACCGCGAATCCACTCAAACAAATCTCTATTCCGCTCGTAAGAAGTTGCATGAAAATGATGGGTGTTAATAAATTATTCACGTCGTTCACAACGCTGTATAAAAGTAGCAGTAGTAGTATCGTCAAAAAAAAAAAATGCAACCAAAGAAGAAAGAAAAGAAAAAAACAGCGTCAAATATTATACGCTTATAAGTGTGATAAAAAAAAAAGTGGAATCACACTTACTTTATCATTCGTTGGTGATGGCGAATGCATTTGATCAGATTCGCTTTTAATTTTCGCGGATAATCGGGCTCGATATTTATCTCTATTCCAATCTTACTGATCCATCTGTTGATCAATTTGAATTGACCAGACACGTGTAGAATCGTGGTCATAAACGTCGCGTCCAAGCCTGAGATCGCGGCTGCGCAGATCATAGATGCTACGATTTGACAAAGGAAAGCGATCTCGAAGCGAGGAGACGGTGTGATGTCTATTCCATACCTAAACATCGTTAGATACCATAAATCAAAATGGTACAGTTGAATTTTAACCACTTCTTTTTTTTTATATTCTCTATGAAATAAGGCAATTACGATATTGATCATTTTTTTTTTGCACATTATTTCGCAGGTGTTAGGGTTTTGCTAAAATAGAAAGAAAGATAATCAAGTGGAAAAGGACGAGTTTTACCAGACTTCGAAGGGCAAGTGTCGACTTTTATCAGCATCGCTGACGCTGTATTCGATCGTGAAATAATCGAAGGCTGCGGCAATCGTGAATGTGAACACGTTGCACATGCAGGACGAGTAAAAGATTATCGTAAGGTTTCTTGCCCAATGAGCGAGCTCTTCGTAGGACTGTCTTTCTTTTGGATCATCGGATGAATCCCATAGATCACGTATTTCGTTGCAAAGCTTGTACGTTTTGTCCCTTCTCGCTATTAGGTAAATCATTTTGAATAATAACTGTCCGACTGTTGTTAAAACGCATCCTACTCCTAAATTTCAGATGGAAGTTACTTTGTTGCAGGTACTTGGATTAGTTCTATTAGCTCATCCCATAAGTTCGTGCCGAAAGCGAAGCGTGTTTTAATGAAAATTCAAGGAAATACTATAGCGACGACAGAATGGTCTTACCAGAAAAGAAAAAAAAAGAAAATAGAAAAGATTTAATGGTTCAGAAAATTTAACTTTAAGTCCGGATCATAATTATTATCGAGGCTTTCCTATATTTCTATTGGAAATATATTGATCTAAATTATAAAATTCGACAGAAACTTGACGAGATGATCTAGTATTTGCAACTTGCCTGCCAAGATTCTTATGTCACCCCAATTCCACACTATCGCCATAATTTCTGGCACGAAGACACTACTGATTGCCGTTAATCCGAATATCAGACGGAAGTATGCGAATAGTTTGCTACGCGTTGAACTTTTCTCGTCGATAGGCCACATTCCAGCTATACTACAAAAGATCTTGTTCGGTAGTATATAATAATCGATCGACGCTTTAGAGAGTTCTTTCATGTTCTCCCTCATGCGAAATTAGATGCGTGTCTGTGAGCGAAACCTTTCTCTCACATGTGTCGCCAATGTCTCTTAGCAGGGAATTCTTTATAATACTATTAGAGACTAGATGGTAAAACGTAAGGTTTTATTTACGTTTCCCTTTCGCTGCCTAGCATGTGCAATATTGATGTCATCATTTTGCATCGGGTCGCTCTTTGCTTCGTTTGGTTTTTATTGTACAGTTTGACGAATAGTTGATGATGTAAGTAGACATTCGCAAAGTTTCAACTAGCTGAGTATGTAAAGTGTGTAATAGCACATTATTTGGTGAAAAGGGTATATAAGAATTGGTCTTCGTTTCTACTACTTCTTCGTAGTACTTTTCCAAGAAATAAAGTTTCATCGGGTTAACATATTAAATAGCGAATATACATCAGTTTAGTAGATTTTTGAGCATTATTTTGTGAACGTGTATCGGTGTAGAAGGTTAACAAAAGTTGATTGATTTTTGAAATGGTGAACTACTTTTTATGCAAACAAATAATTTCTTCGTTTTCAATATTATCTATAAATTATACAAAGTAGTGTGAAGAATTTTTTAGCGTTTTCCATTCTTTATCTTGCTAATTTTGTAGAATTTCTTACTTGACGATTATTTATTTTTTTTCTCATCGTGATTTTAATCGATTTACGAGTCGAAGTTAATATTTATGTTATAGACTCGAACGACGTCGAATTGAAATGCTTCTCTGTATAGTAAACGAAACAAATTGAATAACGAGACGGAACAAGCTAAGTGCCGCTATAATAATATTTCATTTAACAATCAGCATACCAATTGCCTAAATTAATTCGCACTCTCCGGAATAGCTGTTTACGCAATTGAAGCAAGTTTAACATAACTTGCCTGCGTCGATTCTTAACATGATTGCCGGCGTGCTTTGAAGTTTCAATAGGTTGTACAGGGTGTTTCATATTTCACTTACAGATATAAATAATTTTTATTGTTATCAATAGAAATTTAAATAAATTTATAAAATATTACAGAGAAAAATTATTTGTTCTTTTAATATTTATGTTTTTCCTTAGAGTATTCAACAAGAATCCAAAGGAACGCAATCAAGAACTTCTGTGATGAATAAGCCATTATAGAAACCACCGATTAATTGTGAGTATTCCTGCACTCGAAATATGTACATACATAAAACAAATTTTCGATGTCGTATACACAGTGTTTGGTCACTTCTGGAAGAAAATTTAAATGGTGATTCTAGATGCCGAAATAAGACGAAAATCAAGAGTAAAATAATTTCATTTGAAGTTTCGTTTTTCAGTTATTCACGTTTAAAAATGTTCCTGTATTCGAGCAACCCGCCCTACACCAACGAATGTAGGTCACATGAATACACGGGGAGTACAGCGATCTACAAAACCAATGGTATACAAGTTATTGCTATTCCTTCTAATTTGGTGGTTGAAAATATTTCAGTGGAGCAATATTTATCCGAAATTGCAGTGGCTATTTTTTACAAAGATACTGTAAAGTTTCAGAGCCTCTTTAAATCATTCGCGTGACAAGGAATGATACTGTATAAAATCGAAAAGAAATTCGAAAAAACGAAAGTGAAATTCTTCACTGTAGCAATTTCTTGTCCACGTTCTTGTCCACGTTCTTTGTCCATTTAATGTGTAGCAGCTTACAATTAACGATAATCCGATTAAGGCCAATTGAGCACGAGCGTTTGCTCGCCAATAGCGCTCAAATAAAGCTGATTACGAACAGCAAGATAAACAGTTACAATCGTCTGTTGGAATCACAAGTTTCGCGAACACTTCGGAATATTAAAACTCGTATTTCTGTGAATGTATCAGGAATCTATTAGTACTGTTTGTAGTAATAATAAATTTCAAATTGGTGTCACTAATTAATGAACAAGTGATTTCGGTCGATCTACCTGTTTTCTTTATGATAAGATATTATAATTATAGATTTGTAACAAATTTATATTACGTTTTATACTCTTACTGGTATGCGTAAAACATATTGTTGGGAGTTTAGGTTGTTTAGTATCAAATGTTTGAATTTTTCCTTCTTTTTCGTATCGTTAAAGAAACATTATTAAAAAAACGCGTAAGTAAATTAAATTCTTAAAAAGAAGAATGATAACTGATGAAAGTAAATTATAGACTTTCACCTCTCTTTTAGAAGCAAACGATTTTCATTTGTTTTTTACTTTTTTACAAGTTCAAATGTAACAAATACATTTGCCAATGTACATTTAATATAGTAAATAGAAAAATTATATTGAAAAATAATCTTTCTATTGTCAACTTTATTTTTATGAATTGAACAATTTTTATTACCTTAAAATTAATTATTCAAATGTATTCTCAGAAATTTAACCATATTTGTTTATGGTAACATAATGATTAAAAATTAGAAAAGGAAAAGTTCATATTAATAAAATACTAACATTTGTATGTTGCAGTATAGCGAAACATTCTCTGAACATTTATCGCATAATCACATTTGAAGTGCTTTAATTGAGCAATTTAATTTTAGTAGCTTATGAAATTCAGATTATGCAGAAATTAGAAGCTTAGTAACGAGGTCGTGAGTCCTCCTTATCAAAATCCCACTGCGCAGAGATAAGGACATATTGTTCAACACAATTCGACGTATTATAAGCGAAATATTACTAATTCATCGGGAAGAATAGAAGATAAAAGTGTTCTTATGGTTAAACGACCAAGGAAAGATAAAGTGATATGAAGGAACTGTTGAAGAAATATAAAATTAATATAATACTACATTTTTTAAATAATTAATTTATTAAAGTACAGTGCATATACAGTTCATACTCTGCTGATTATCAGACATAATTTTTTTAATATCTGATCGTGTGAGAAGTGCTGCAGGAAAAATTTGTTAAAAGTATATGTAGAATCGGACGTTTACTTAAAAAAAGGGAATAGGACCAGAATTTTCTCTCCATGAACTTAATACCATGGATGTAAGTACAGTAAAATAAAATTTAATGTATGTACATAATTTAAAAATTTAATTGGATTTATGGGGTAAACGTAACGTAGCATGTAAATTTTTTATAAAATCTCCATTTCTACATGTAAAAATAAATTGAAAAGAAAGAATAAAATTTTTTCGTTAGAAGCCTCGTGTGTTCGAGGAAGTCCAGTTTGAAAATCTATCAAGTCCTTCAGAAAAAAGTTTAGACATCGGGATTAGAGATGACATAATCTTGAGGGTCCGTAACGCATCACTGGTCAGTCGCTTTAACCACCACAGCCAACGCTGCCTTTTTTCTTTCTTCTATTTTTATTTCTATTGTTTTCTATAGATCTTCTCAATTTGAAATTAGAGTCAGTTTAACCTTTTAATCGGGGAAGACGTGTTAACTCGTCATTGGTTCGTCAATATTTAGAACACAGTAGTTTATTTATCAAAGGATTATTTATTTTTAATTGTACAAATTTAACATCCGTTTTCATCCTCGACAATTTTTACCTCTAAAATTACTTTCGCAATAAGAACATCTAAAAATTCTTCACGTGAAATTATCTGATCATAAAGCATCGTGTTTTCCATATTTAAACACTTTCACAATATATTTATAAACGCGATCAATTCACCTCGTGAGAGAGTGTATATATCGTAAAATTATCAATCGAAAGATATCTCTACTTTTGTTGCTTTATCGGTGATACGAATTTACCGTATTATCAGCGAGCGAACAAAATCCGTCGAGTGTCGATTGGAGTGTCATCGAGTACATAATACGCGGAACCTTGTGGTCAAGAAGTTCGCGCCCTTCCGTCGCACGAACGTATCGTCTGAGGTAACGAGGCATCAGTTCGGTAGCTAAGATAGACTTGCATATGTATATACCAGGATTGGTAGTGGGAGAAAGAGTCTGCATATGATACATACTGCGAGGCTAAGAAAACAGGAAAAGAGGTAGAATACAAAGTTGGACAAGAAAGACGGCTGTGATGTCCACACGTCTCGTGCAATGTAGCAGTAGCAATTTTCGCGGGAATAGACGCGATCATGTGACCAGCAAAGTTAAGAATAGTTATTTACTAACGTTAATTTCATTGTGAAAAACGACTGGATATCGCGGTTCCCTTTCGGCTATAAAACTTCTACACGCAAAGTTGGAAAATATGACAAGAACTAACGAGGTATTGGTGAGTGTTAAATACATCGTTCTGTGTTATTCGTTACTATTTCTTTTAAATTCATCTGCTTGAATTTTCACTTTGGATTTTGGTTAGGTTATGTTGCTTACTTAGCGCGAGGCCGCGCGCGCGAACGAAAACAGTCGAAAGCGCCTGCGTGTATGCGTTTACAGGTCAAAACATACCACGTGCGTGCATGCTCGCAAAATATGCATTGCGAGATTTAATTTCACGTTCGTTTGCAATTAATTTTCTTCTTTTAAACGATCGAATTGTGCACGCGCGGAGGCATCACGCTGACGATTCGTTATATTAATATTGTAATTGCGTGTTTTAATAACTCGAGAATTATATATGCATACAGATCAGTGTTGCAATATAAACATAACCAAGTTCAGTAAATTTGATACTGTCAGATTGAATTTCATCTTTCAAGGATAAAAATATTTCTGTACACGCAGCGGTTTTTATTTTTATGCGTCTTTATTTAACTCTCGGAGCACCGGCCGTAGAATCCGGTGTTCAGGTCTTTTCTGGCCCACAGGGAATTTTTACGAATACGTATTTATGTGCATCGCGTAAGTGAGTGTAGATAGATGAGGTATGTAACAATAAGTAATATATTTATAAGGATATTTTAATATTTATAAGGACAATTTTAACGAGTCTTTGTATTAATATTAAGTGTAGACATTCGATAATTTTAGATATAAACGGTTACAATTCTAGATGTACTATGAATATAATTAGAAATTATCAAAGTCGCATTGGCAAAGTGAGACAGATGTTTGACTGGTAATTTTGAAGGTCTTGGGATCGATTCCCGTTCACCAAAATTATTTGCTTTTACGATTTTTTTAGCAGTAACCGTGTACACGATGCTGGATAATAATTTTCATACATACAGCGGAGACATAAATAACAAACAATGACAATAAACGCATCTCGTTTAATATATCAAAGTAACAGTTTAAAAGAAGTACTATTAATACATGGTGTCCCTAAAATAGTGATACAACCTACCAGGTGGTGATTTTACTTTCGAAATTAACTTTCGATTACTTTCGATTTTACTTTGCTTTCGAAAAAAATGAGTTTGAAAATCTGTCAGGTATCTGTGTATTAATTGTAAGTTTCGAGATATGAAACTTCTGTTTCTGTTCGTGTTTGTACTATTAAACATGGACAGTGTCACGATTTGCTTCCTGTTATTGCTGTTATCTTATTTTCGCGACGTCTGTCTGTATGTTTACATAGGCAAATCGAGAATACGTGGACATAATCCTTACTCCGAGAACATGCCATCTCAAAGATCTGCTATAACTTCTCAACTAATTAATATTTTCCAAAGAAAATTTGTGGGAGGTGGTAAATTACTTTTTTGTAAAACATATACGATTGTTTTAATTCGCAAAACATCTGTTTGTGAAGAGAAATCGGACCATTTATAGCGTTTTATAAATTTATTTCCATACAGATATATGAAAATCTCAATGACGTATTTCTGCGTCATCGGGGTTCAAAGCAAAAACATGAATGACGCATATGTGCGTCATTCGACGCTAATGCGTTTTAAGAACACTTGTTACATTAATTAAATTATTCTTAAAAGAAGTACTAATCTTATCCTTATTTGTGAAACCGTTCAAATTAAATACGGAATAAAAGAAAGTAATAATTTACTTTACCTGGTTAGACAAATTAATTGATTTTCAATCAGCTCTGTCGGTAATGTATGTCGGTAACGTTAGGCCGACTGAGCGAGAGACGGTGCTTGGGTCCGTTCGGACCCGTAATAATTATGTATTACCATTTGCGTTGGCACAAGGTTCTTATTGTTACCGCAATTTATTTTATCAATTTCTTACACATAAACAAGTGATTTCCATCGCGTGTCGACTAGTAAGGCTCAATCGCAACGTACTCGGGTCCGAACGGACCCAGGCACCGCCGTGCGAGAGTTAAAGATTACTTAATCTCCTTATCCTTTTACCTGCGTTGAGGCATAAGACAAACATTCAATAGTATAGACGTTAATTTCCAAATGACTCATACACAATACACTGTTATCGTACAGCAGGGATGTTGAACTGGTGGCTCGCGTGCCACATGCGGCACCTCCTCTTCGTGTGCTCCGCACAGCCGCAGGAGAACAGCCCCTCCATACCGAATTCACTCTGAGGGACTTCCCCTCTGGGTGCCGCACGAGTCCCACCATTACCAGCTAGTCACCACTAATATACATATTATACAGTAATATCTCTGACACTGTCGCCCTTGTCGGAACCGAAAGGCGTCAGTTGGGTAGAGTAGACACGGTTTTCGAGGGTCGCAGCCCGCTTTTGTAGTTTGCCGAACGAAGATAAGGAAAACGAATAATTACTCAAGTAACAAATACTCCGAATGAGATCGAATTTGTACTCATTTTAATGGAGGAAGCTTCGTCTATCTATTAATAATATTCTCTCGAATATAACAGGAAAAACAAACAGTTGATTTCCGTTATAGGATGACCTTCGCACTTATCTTTTCTTTATCAATAGCCAGCTGCTAGACGCACGCCTTCGGGGACTCCCTCCGGCGAAACGCGGTAGAGTTACGAAAGAACACTGTCTATATTCCCTTTTTTCACACTCCGAATCGTACTTGAAATTTTGATATGCTACCATTACGTCACCATTACAACGTATCCCTACCATTCGATAATACTTCACAATTATAATCACCTTCATTACTCACTAATTGACTGAAAATAAACACGTCGAGTTGACACGACTTGGTACAGTCTGACGTTACTTTCATTAGTGTTTCCACGTGTTTCCAAGGCTCCGCGAGCTCGAAAGCCAGAGTTCTGTGAACGGTAACAGAATAAAAGAATGATTTAAACTTCGAAAAATGTGAAAATTTGAGGAAAAAAAAAACAGATAAAATTCTGAACTTATGCTGGCAATTTTCTATTCGCCGCATACGTCTTTCTTCTTGGAGGAGTAATGAAATACTATCCTGTTCGACGAACCGTTGCCGAGACGCTTGTCACATCACACCAACCGTGTGTAGAATGTTCTGTAAGTGTGATCTAATTTTTATGTTGCATGTATACTGTCACATTTTTACAATATCGCACACATTCGCTACCAGCGTCGAATATGTGTGACGCACCAATTCTTTCGATACATCGCAAGTGTTATGTTATATCTATATGTTAAATATGTCGTTATATAAAAATCACATTGAAATTACATACATATTACACACGTGCATAAGCGCATGTATGTACTAAAATAGTAAGTGATTCTGTTTTAGGGGAGAGTGTAGAATCGGTGAGACCCTAAGGAATCAGGTGAACGCGTGTTATGCATCTTCGATCCGCTAAATCGTACAATTTTATAGTAATCTTTACCACATAATGGGAACGTAAAAGTTAGCGGAGTTCGAAGTTAGGGTAAGCGAGTTTAACGAATCTTGAGAAGATAAGAATGTGAAATCTCAGTCAGGATTGTATGGCTAATGTGGTTAATTGGTTAAAAAAATTCAGTCCAACTGTTTAACAGGTTTTTATCATTTGCGTGATAAAAAAGACACGTCGTTTAATTTATTCTGGGACTTGATGAAATTTATATCTCGCAAACAAGTTTTCTTTCTGTTCTTTGAGAAGAAAAATTCATTCGTTAATTTGTACACTTTTAGAAATTTGCGATATATGTACTTCTGTTTCTAACAGTGACGTATTTTATGTTTACAGATAGACACCGATAAGCAGACACCCGATGTGTACAATGCGGTGACATCGTACGGGGTAACAACTGAAGAGAAACCTAACGAGACCAGCAAAACACAATGGCGGCAGTGGCTAGCATGTATTTCCGGTTAGTTTTCTATTTTCTTCTAGTTCACTTGTGCGATAAAACCGCGTTAAAACTGGTGAAAATTAGCAAGTCTCGTTAGCAGTAACTCCTGAACTATTCAGTTTCATGAATATCTTTGCATGACTTAAGTTTCATTAATATACAGCTCCTGGTGAAAAAAATTAGGGCCACTCATAATTTTCAACATATTTTCCGCCAGGATCTATATTTTCGTCAGAATCGCTCTCCTAACGATTCCCTAAATTTTCGTTAATAATTTTTGTTAAAATTATCCGAAATGTTGTAAATTATGTGCTGCGTTGTGACGTAAAGTCTTCTTCTTTCTTCAGCAACCCTTTCCATGGTGGCCGTCGGTACGGTGTACGGATGGACAACAACCTCCCTCTCACGACTGACATCCGGAGACAGCGGGATGCCGTTCAAGTTAACAGACGCCGAAGGTTCATGGATGGTCTCTTTGACAGTAATCGGTTCCATGATCGGTCCATTTTTGGGAGCCTGTTTGGCCGACAGGTTTGGTCGCAAACGTTGTCTCATGTTATCCAGCGTATTTTTTATCATCGGCTGGCTTACGGTGTTGCTAGCAGGCACCGTAACATCGTTGTACGTTGCTCGAGTGATCCTCGGCATAGGCGTTGGCATTTCCTACACAACCAATCCAATGTACGTTTCCGAAGTGGCGGATATCAATATCAGAGGCGCGTTAGGTACTCTAATAGCCGTGAACGTGTTCACCGGGTCGTTGTTGACCTGTAGCATAGGTCCTTGGGTATCTTACAAAACGTTAGCAACGGTTCTACTAGTGATACCTGTGTTATTCGTATTGTCGTTCATATGGTTCCCCGAAACACCGCATTTCTTGGCGTCCAGAGGCTACAGAACCGAAGCTTGCAAATCTCTGGCATTTTTCAAAGGTATCTCCGACCCGAACGAAGTGAAAAAAGAGCTGAATATCATTCTACGCGGGATATCTAGGAGCGATTCGTACAAGACTCACGTGGCGGTGAGTTCGAGCCAAAATATAGAGATAATCAAGCACACTTGGCCAGCCAAGCTTCGTATGTTACTTCTGCCGAACAACGCGAAAGCTTTGTGCATCGTTATCGGGTTAATTACGGCGCAGCAACTTAGCGGAAATTTCAGTACTATGCAGTATTTGGTGGTGTTGTTCAAGAAAGCAGCGGTTGGTATAGATTCGAACGTAGCGACGATTCTCGTTTTGGTCGTTGGACTTATATCGGGAGCTTTGGCTACGGCAACGGTCGAAGGTGCTGGAAGACGACCGCTTTTGATGATCTCTACGTTCGGATCGTTCGTCACTTTGGCCATTTTGGCGATCTATTTGATGCTGGATAACAGAGGGATCGATGTTTCCGCGGTGAATCTTCTTCCTGTCGTCGACGTGATCATCTTCCAAGTGACCTTTCAAATTGGTTTAGGCACTCTACCAAACGCGCTGATAGGTGAATTGTTCCCGACGGAAGTGAAAGGCGCCGCTGGCGCTATAGCTACCGTTTTCGACGGTATACTAGGTTTCGCCGTGTCGAAGCTGTATCAAGTTATCGGCGACAGTCTCGGCTCGTACACGGTTTATTACTTCTTCTCTGTATCTTGCTCTCTGGCGTTTCTCATGGTGTTGCTGTTCGTGCCGGAAACGAAAGGCAGAACCTATCGCGAGATTCAAGCGCTCTTAGCTGGTGAGAAATTAAGTTCCTCGGGTGGGAGAGAGAAAAGCGACGAAAGCGATTTGGTATGACACGGGGGAACGCACCGTGCACGGTGCTTATTTTTGTGCAATTTTATGTCTCTTCTTGGTGTTCGAAGTACTGTAAGTGTTGGCTTAGCTGTAAGAAGTTTTGTTCATTTTATCGAGGCACTTGATCCTTACGACGGCGTCATTTTACGCGTTTATTTGTTTAGAGAGAATTGTAATAAAGGCGACGGTCACTTACTAGCGTATGTATCTTATAACTTGTCCTGCGTTAAGCATGACGGAATAAAGATTTTAGAAGGAAATTTCTGTATTTTTCAAACAAACACAAGCACACCAGTTTAATGTACGATTACTTCGTTTATTTGGTAGGAATTGAAGTTTGTAGCTTTTATATCGAAGACACTGTGAATTGCAACGTAGGGCAGTAAGAATTTAATTAACGTGCAAGCTTAAAGGACAACGACTAAAGAAATACACGAAGAAGGCTAATGGTCGAAAAAAAGTCTGCAACTTTCACGAAAAGAAGCTTTCTTTAAATATTAAAAGACACGTAAAAATAGAAGAAGATAAAAGTAGGAAATATTCTGAACGTGCAATCTTAATGCTCGTAATTGTTTTGATAAAAACGTTCGAACTTTGTTATAAAAAACTATCAAATTTAATTGGAACTGTGAAAACTGTGTAACAGTGTAACGTACGACTGGATGGATTTGCCGTGAGCTTTTCGATGCTTGGTAGTTCCTTAGAAGACTGTTCAAGACTGACTCTTCTAAACCACGTCTCGAGCTTGCTCGAGACGTTTTCTATTCCTTGCACGCTGATTGATTAATTAGCTTAGCAATTTCACTTACCGATCAGCGTGTCCAATATCGTCTTCACCGTTCTTCCTGTGTTCTTCCTTAGCGCATCCTTACCTTGAAAGGGTGGAAGACGATCGCGCCAAGTTTGTGAAAATCCCAGAATTTTCTCCGGTTGAGATTGTGCTCTTCGGAAAGGGTATTTTCTGTATTTTTCGACGAAATATATTAGGTATTTTTCTGAGGAGACATTTTAGAAACTATCCCGTAGAATACCTATTTCTACGAACAATCTTTTCACTTAAGTTTACGAACAACTAAAAAAGTGTCGTGAAGTGATGTTATTTTAGGCTACTCTCTATTCTCATTGTACATACGTAGAAAAGAGAGAAACAGGAATGTGCTGAAACGAAATGCAAGGAAAGTACAAACAACAGTTGACGATTCACTTTATGTAAAGTTACAAAATAAAACAAAAAGTTACTAGTTATTAATACATACATTTTACTTCATTTTCCTTTGCTATTTATGCTCACTAGCAAGATACAAATTTCAATGGTGGTTTTTTTTTTTGTTTGTTTCTTTCTCGGAGAATCTTATTTCGTTTTTTTTTTCTTTTATTTACAAAACGTATCTGTCACAGTGGTTACATTATAGAGTGCAGTTTATACAAATGACAAACGCAGACAGATAGAAACGAAGGAAGAAGGGAAACGAAAGATGGAAGAGGGGAAAGCAATTGAAATTTCCTGGATAAAGAGAAATTTTCACCTACAACAAAGTTTCTCGTTGATAACAGATTATCTTGTGTTTTTTGTTTCTTTTTCCCTCGACAAGTTGTAGTTGCTTTCGATTAATATTACCACGTCGCGCGTATTTCTTCATGTTTTATAGTACAATCGCGAGTCACAGGGAAATATGTTCTCTTAAATACATGTATCCTTTGTCTCTTTTCTTTCTTGCTGCTTTTTTTCTTTCTTTCTTTTTAATTTTACACTGGGGGTGCTTGCGTGTGCTGCAAACAACCTTCCACATTTTCCGGCCAGTCGCAAACGTTCTCGTTCGGGTTGAATACCAAATTCACTGGACAGGGCATGTGATGCTTCCTCTCACCTTCGCACATGTAATACATCGTGCAGTCGTTTTTATCGGGATGATAAGATATGTGATTGTCCTCTCCGTCGCAGGCCAATTCGTTCGCTGAAACGATTGGTAATGCAGCAATGTTTCTTCTTTAGTTTCTTTTTTTTCTTAATAAAATTCGATTACTTTTGGAGTAAAAGGGTTAAAAAGTGTGGAAGAATTTACGAGTACTCGCAAGTTTTTCGCAAAGTGAAATTCGGTGCAAAATTGTAGCGATATTGAATTATTTCGGTAAAAATGTTAATCTTAGAAACGGTTAACGAATAAGCGACTTTAGGATCGAAGTATTTCAGTTTAATTATCCCTGACACTCTGGAGTATCGTTTTCTTCTTGTCTAATTTCTTTTCGTTAGTTGGTTTGTATAACGAAGAAATAAGAAAATATTAAGGTTGCATTGATGCACGATGTCGCCTTTCGAAAATCTGTGAATCTAATTTTTTATCACTGAAACATCTGTTTACCACTGAACAGTGATTAGAGAGTAATTATGGGAGAGATGATAAGTGATATAACTGATGTCATTTTAGACACTTAAAGTTTCAATTAAGTGACTATTAGTTGGTTAATTAGTGCGATGTAAGATTTGAATAAATACTTACGATCTTTGGTGGTGTACTTCCCGTTCCTCAAATTACTCTCGTAAGGACCGTCGTATTCCATCTTCACTGAATAGTCTCTCAGCTCTTTCATCATGGCTTTGATCAACGGGTACTTACCAGCTCCGCAAGAACCTCTGAAGTCATCCATATCCACCGACCAAATCATTATACCTCCGAAGCCTTCTTCTTTCAGCCATTGCATCTGATGCGATTGAAAACTCACGTTTAACGTTATACTAGTGTGTTGATTAACAAAATTTTTGATATAAATAATATTCGTGTAATTGGCTTGTATAGTATCAATAT